TTACAAGGAAATGCCTGTCACGTTACACGTGTGGGCAAGGACACAAAAATGAGAGCATTGTCAATATAGCGTGCAAGGAGTACGACGACTACGGGCATCTGCATAATGACGCCAAGTATCGCCGACTATTTGCATCGGCAACAAGCAACGGCCTACATCTCGAAAAGTGTTTAAATAACGTATTAGCCTGTTCGTTTTTAACACTTTTTTTCACTTTATCTCTCCTCCCTCCTCGTGCCTGCAGCAAGAGTACGTCACGTTTCGAGTGAAAAAAAATGCAACCACACGCTTGCGCTATGGAACTGCACGGATGTCACGTAAATATATAGATAGATAGAGAGATAAACAGAGATTCATGATGCGAAACAAAGCGCAAGCGGCATCGCCCAGATAGTACAAAATGTTCTATGAACGTTCTTACAAAATATAAATGTTCTTAAGTAATTTCAACATATTCGAATCGAATGTAAACGGCATCCGCTGTGATCTTTCTCGTACGTAAAATATGACGAACGGTGGTACAAGAACGGTATATAAATCACGTGTACGGCACAATCTTGTATCAGTTGAATTTGTATCGTGGAGTGGAGTCCCACTCTTATATAGACACACACACACACACACACACGGCTGCGGGCTGTGCGCCTTTCGTGCGTCATTACCCTGCGTGGAAGTTTCCCAGTACGTGAGGATTGAGAGCCCCTGACGCGTGCACGAGCACGAGGTGCATACCGTGCGTACGTGCATCATCGGCGCACGTGTACGTGGCGCACGACATTGATCTTGGGAAATCGGAATGACGGAGTATGTATGTACATACGGGACGTGGCGGAAAAGGAGAGAACGCCGGGGGAAGACCGGGCGACGTTACGGAGGAATCGCGGACTCGATTTTGACGGCACCTGTCAACGTTAGCGTCCCTCGCACGATTCCGTTTTAACGTGGCCGAGAGTGATCGCGCTTCCCTATTTACTCGACATGCCGCCTTCTCGCCGACCTGTTCCGTGATCCGTCCGGCATCCCCGATCACGTCCTCGACGCACCGTCCTCGATATCCGTTCGGAGATGTATTGACAGATTGATCCGGGTTACCGCTGCCGCTGTGAGGTTAACATTCGAACGTTTCATTATTTTTTGTCTCGACGTGCATCTTCGTTGATCGACGTTCGATCGATCACTCTTCTGCTTTCGTTATATTGCCGTCGAAGTCTTTTTTTTTCTTCAGTCAAGCGTTTTCCACTTCGATGCGCGCATTTTTTTACACAGTTGCGACACGTGAGATAACGCGCAAAGTACGTCAATTTGGCGCTATTGATAAGACGGGGAAAGACAGCGTATAAAGTCGCGCCACATGTAGGTATATATAACGTTGTATTGTAATTAAAGTATAAATTTAGCGTTACGCCGTACGCCGTTCTTACGTAGTCGAGAATGGTCTGTTTTCTCATAAAACATATGTCTCTCGTGTTGACGTTAACTTCATTTTTTCATATATTTATTATATAATATTAAATTTAAATCCTAACGCATAACAATAAGCATACGTTGAATGTTCGTTTATACAAATAGTTGAATGTGATAATGTTTTTTTTTAAGGCTAAAGAACAAGCGTCTGAAATGTGGTTGACAACTGCCGACGCGGCTAGTCTTGGAGCGGAAGAGGTAGCAGCTAGATTACACGTCGATGTACGAACGGGACTCAGATGGCAAGAGGCTGACCATAGAAGGCAACTGACAGGTTTCAATGAGTTCACCGTAAAGGAGGAAGATCCACCATGGAAGAAATATATCGAACAGGTAGGAGTTTTCCAAGCTTATTTTCTACTCTCGTGATACGTATAGAAACGTGTAAACAGAGGGTAATACACGTTAGATAGATTCGCACGCACGTTCACGTGAATTTAAATATGTTTCAGTTCAAGAATCCATTGATTCTTCTCTTACTTGCCTCTGCATTTGTCAGCGTCTGCATGAAGCAATTCGACGACGCTGTCAGTATTACTGTGGTAAGTAGATTTTAACTCTTTTTTTAACTTTCATTAATCCCATAAATTTTGGCAGGCCGTATCTAACCGATGCTTATGTTTGTGATACGTTCCTTTTGTAGGCTATCATAATAGTGGTGACAGTTGCATTTGTACAAGAATACCGATCGGAGAAATCTTTAGAGGAATTGAATAAATTGGTACCACCGATATGCCACTGGTAAATAGAGTTCCGCTTTTTATTAGGTGCTTTATTAACCACATACACTATACGCTATACAATTAATAATGAATATTAGTCCAATCTTGAGACAGCATGTATCCAAATTTACAATTCTTTAGAAGTATGGTCCTTGGAGGATATTCTAACCCTTTATACGTGCAGCATTCCTTTCTCTTCTTAACGAAGAAGATATAATATGTCGTTGCACTCTGTAGAAGGTGAAACTTACTTCTATGAAACTCCATAAAGTCCTATACTTTACAATTAAAGAAATCCCGACTTAAGAGAAATTGCCAACAAAAACATTCTTTATCAAATTCCTACTTTGCTAAAAGTTCTTAATATTTTCTTTAATTGCGTTAAGATACTTTTACGTTACTGTTGCATTCCGATATTTTGTTTGCAGCTTAAGAGAGGGTCATGTGGAAACATTTCTAGCGCGTACGTTAGTTCCTGGTGATATAGTGTATTTAAATATTGGAAATAGAGTACCTGCCGATATCAGAATATTCGAAGCTATAGATCTGGCGATTGACGAGAGTAGCTTTACCGGAGAGACGGAACCGGCGCAAAAGTCAACAGCTCCTTTGCTCAAGACTAATGGATTGACATCGAAGAGAAATATCGCCTTCATGGGCACTTTGGTGCGCTGTGGAAATGGCAAGGTAACGTCTGTTAAAACTATACATAAAATTCTTGGGAATACGTGCGCTTTACCATCAACTTATGTTACAATATCGCGCAACACAGGGAATTGTAGTGAATACGGGAGAAAAGAGTGAATTTGGGGAGGTTTTCTCGATGATGCAAGCCGAGGAGGCACCAAAGACTCCACTACAGCGAAGCATGGACATTTTAGGTACTCAGCTGTCCTTCTATTCATTCTGCATTATCGGTATTATCATGCTGCTGGGCTGGATCCAAGGTAAGGCTATCCTTGAGATGTTTACCATTGGTGTAAGCTTGGCAGTAGCAGCTATACCGGAAGGCCTGCCTATCGTCGTGACTGTGACACTGGCATTGGGAGTGATGAGAATGGCCAAGAGAAAAGCCATTGTGAAGAAGTTACCAACCGTTGAGACTCTTGGTAAATTGAAATTAACGAAAAAAATTATTTTATTTAAATTTATATTGGTTAAATTATCTTTATTTCTCTTATTATTATTTAAATATATTTTTTTCCAATCTCTTATGTTCTAAAATTCCAAACATAAGGAGCGAAAGCTTTTATTTTTAGGTTGCGTAAATGTGATATGTTCTGATAAAACCGGCACGATCACGAAGAACGAGATGACCACTACGATTCTCGTTACGTCGGAGGGTTACATCGCGGATGTTACTGGAGCAGGATACAACGACGTGGGAGAAATACACATACGGAAATGTGATAATCTTGATCTCGCACGCGCTGCTATCACTAATATGCTGGAAGTGGGTTGCGTGTGCAATAATGCTATCATACAGAATGACACTCTGTTGGGACAACCAACGGAAGGTGCGCTGATAGCAGTGGCAATGAAATTCGGAATGTATGGTGTCGCTGATAGATATCTGCGGTTGCAAGAATATCCATTTTCTTCCGAACAAAAGATAATGGCTGTGAAATGTACACCGAAGTTTGGCGAGGTAAATTTAAAGAAATAAAAAACAGCACGTATCTTGATAATAAATCAATTATTTTTTATTTTGGAATGTCAAATGCATATGCTATACGTTCATATTTCAGAATAGACAAGAAACATACTTTGTAAAGGGTGCTTTGGAAAAAATTTTGCCGCAATGTACAAAATATTACGAGAATGGTCAAGTATATACCCTTAGTCAAAAGAAAGATCAAGAATTTTTGACAGAAGCATATGACATTGGTCAACAAGGATTGAGAGGTATTATCTCTCTAAGCATAATAATGAATGGATATAATAAATTTAATTATATTTTTTTCTATGATATTTTTCTATGTAATATCATGGATATCTTTTTATATTATACTCATCAGTTAATATGTTTTTTTTTTTATTATACTCATCAATTTGGTTACAGTGATTGGTCTGGCACGAGGCTCTTCATTACAAGATCTAATTTATATCGGCCTGGTTGGTATTTGTGACCCACCAAGACCACATATGCGCGAATCTATTAGCATTTTGTTAAACAGCGGTGTTAAGGTAAAGATGGTGACTGGTGATGCTAAGGAAACTGCAGCTGCAATAGGTACATAACTAAATAATATATCATTTATAAAACACTATCACATTTTTTTATACAATGAACGCTAATTTTTGCAATCACAGAGTTACAAAGGATTTAATTATTTTTCAGCTAGCATGATTGGTTTGGATACACTTCACAGTCGGCTGTTATCGGGAGACGAGATTGATATGATGTCCGAGCATCAATTGGAACAGTGCATTAATAGCGTTAGTGTATTTTACCGCGTAACACCAAAGCACAAACTTTGTATCGTAAAAGCCTTACAAAGAAATGGCAACATAGTGGGTATGACCGGTGATGGTGTAAACGACGCAGTTGCGTTGAAGAAGGCCGATATAGGCATCGCCATGGGTAAAAATGGCACTGATGTATGCAAGGAAGCGGCCGACATGATTTTGGTCGACGACGATTTCGGAACTATTATGTAAATAATGTATTGTCTAGCAATTTTTTTTAGCATTTAAATCGATGTTTACCACGTATGTATATCGGTTTTTGTTTTAGCGCGGCGATCGAAGAGGGGAAGGGAATCTTTCACAACATCCGCAATTTCGTCAGATTTCAATTGAGTACTAGCATAGCCGCGCTTTCTCTGATTGCTCTCGCGACGTTGATGAGTATACCGAATCCTTTGAATGCTATGCAAATACTGTGGATCAACATCATTATGGATGGTCCACCTGCTCAAAGGTTAAATAAATTACTTTTCGATTTAACGCTTCATTAAATATTTATTACACATTTTTTTATGCATTAATCTTTTTCTGTATCTCTCCACAGTCTTGGAGTAGAACCGGTTGATAAGGATGTTCTGAAGCAAAAGCCACGAAATACAAAGGAACCAATGATCACTCGTCATCTCATAATTAACGTCTTATTATCCGCTAGCATTATCGTTCTTGGCACTTTGTGGGTGTACAACAGAGAGGTAATGTGTGTGTGTGTTTTTTTAATAAATTATATTTTTCTTTCTTGATTACATATGCTTAATTTCCAGATGGTTAATGGAAATACTGCGAGAGATACTACCATGACATTTACTTGCTTCGTATTCTTCGACATGTTCAATGCTCTTAGCTGTAGATCACAGGTAGGAATTTATACTTTTATTTCAGATCTGTATTATACCAAGGAAAAAAGATTGCTACAGCCGGAAAATACCCGTTTGTTTCAGACAAAATCCGTATTTACGATCGGTTTGTGGAGTAATAAAATGTTTATGATAGCCGTAACGCTCTCTGTCATCGGACAAATGTTCGTGATCTACTTCCCTCCGTTACAGAAAATATTTCAGACTGAAGCTCTCACGGCGAAAGGTATCGTTTTCACTACCGTTATCATGATACCGTTAAAGATAATCGATATATATTTCTTGTATAACTTGGTTATTTTTAACTTTCAGATCTTCTATTCCTGACGGCATTGACATCGAGTGTCTTCGTCATCAGCGAGATAAAGAAATTCATCGAGAGGCAACTGCAAAGACGTCGCGTTAATAATGGCCAGTATTATAACAAGTTCGAAATGGACTTTGTATGACAGTTACAGTCTGCCGGCGAGAGCAAGGCGGACAAAGATCATAATGAATAAGCGCATCAATTATCGCTCGACGTCAATATGCAGTCGGTCGCGTTCGTTTATAACTGACACATTACGTCTCGCTAACTCACATCTACTCGACTGTGCTTGCACGTTCGTAACTTCGTCACGTGTGCACCTCTATCACAAAATAGAAGAATAATAATATCATTTTGATGACAGTTCTAATGTATCGATTGCGCAGTGTGACTGCAGTTTTTTTACCATTTACAAATTGTCGATTCTATTTTTTCCAGCACATTGTGCACTTCTTAAAAAGAAAAAAGGAAAGAGAGAAACATTTCGGTAACGGTAGTAAGTTACGTAGGCTGTAGCTATTAGACTATATTTCATTATTGTCCCTACAGTGAGACTATAAATCACTATTTCATAGATGGTAGCGATGCTACTGCACATTCCATGCACGTTTGATAGATCAATGACTTTTAACGATACTTTAACGAACTTTTAACGATATATTCTATTTGTAATATATAGTCTTAGAGACTGCAGTCCGAAACAATGTTTGCACAGAATCATCGTAATCATTCTATCTTACACCTTTTTCTAAATATTGTAACAGTTTTTAAGCCTCACTCAGCAAGAAATATCGATTCCGCCGTTCGTTCATTCATTGTCAATCAATTCACGTTAGAGGAGAAGCGAATCATGCAGCATTTTACCGAGTAAGAATAAGACAGAGATAAGCATATTGTAATTAAACCAGCCATACAAATCGATTGCATTTAAGAATACAGTTGTAATCGGCGAAAATAAATGCTCTTACAATGTTCCTTATTAATTCCACGTTGGCGAACGTGTCCCTTCGATGGCAAGGTAATATAATGGAAATTGCACCAACGACGAATGTGCTGTTTCCCTAAATAGCATAATAGCTAATTTATATTCAAGTAACATCCAATTCTCTATTATGCCATCGAAAAGATACTCGCGTGTTGCATTATATAAAGATATTCGAATTAATATTTCATGAGTATATTAATGAATTAATACACATGTTCGTATATGTTACGTTATATGTATACAGATATTTTATATTCAATTTTCTAAGAATTTAAACAAATTGTTTAATGAATTCCTTCAAGAACACTATAAGTTTTATATTGATACAATTCCGGTCCACCGTAGCCATACAGCAGCTTTCCTTTACCATTTTCATCGTAATAAGGATAACGATACTTTGGCCTAAAAAAATAAATATGAAAATTACTATACGATATTATTTGACGCTTTTCAGTGAAAAGTCTTTTTTTTTTTTTAAGAAACTACTGTGTTCTAACGTAACAGTCGGAATCGTACAAATATTTAATGCCAAACTAAATATTGACTAATTTCTTTAACTGTTTATTTTATAATTAAATATCGAGATATTTGCTTCACTCACCGTTCAAAATATTGAAAATTCGGTGCTTGAGGTTCGAGTATAGCCACACTTTCATCAATTATTACGAGAAGAAGAATGGCGAATATTGTTAACGTGATTATAGTCGGCCACTGTAAAATGAAAAGAAAGTTTCGGAAAATAATGAAGTAAAAAGAAATTTGCTTTATTTGTTAACGAATATTTCTTTGCAAAACTCGATACCTACTTGTTAAATATTAATGAGTAGAGTTTCAAGCAAAATTGAGACGCAATTGCAAAGTTACAATTAGAAAGTTGCGACAGATAACGTGGCTGTTGATTAAATTTTTAAGCGATCGAGATTCAAGAACAAAAAATTATATTCCTAATTAGGTTACAAAAGATTATATTTGCAGTTTATTAATATCATTTGGTATTACTTACAGAGGTAGAGCTCGCCATGACAAATCAATTGAAATGTTCTCTCGATTAATAGTAAGCAATTTTGAAAATAGTGCGAAATAAAAGTGTCTTTTTGGTAGAACAATTATTAATCGTTAGTCGGATCAATTATTAATCAATTTAACAAATACCACAAAATAAAATTGATCGACGCGCTGTATCCAACCTCCCAGATTCGCGTCAGAACTCAGTCTAAATTTCTTCCTTTCCCCACCATCCTTATTCTTTCCCCGATGTCTAAAGTGAAAGTTCCGAGATACGTTGTGCTACATACTTTGATTGCTTCATCTGAATGTCGACCGTGAAATTTTCGCAATATCCGAAAAGATGTGTGTTTTGAAAGTATCAATAAAATGATATTTGCTTGATTGCAAATTATACGTGAAGTATAAATACTGAGAAAATACAAAAATATCAAGAGATCATGTTTTTAAAATTATTTCTAATTACTTTAAGTTGCGTATGCCATTCAATAATTAATATATCGGATATACACTGCACTTATTCTAATTCTAATTAATTGCAAATATTTAATCAAAATAAATTTGGCGGAAATATGACTTAGCTAAAAATTCGTACGGTATTAAAATAAGAGAAGAAAATCACTTTAATAATCACTTTCGATCGCAATTGTCGATGACACGATTAAAACGTTGTATTGTGAATATTAATAATAAGGATCGTTCAAAACTTTGATTTTATAAAAAATATATTTGGTGAATTATATTTACGTCGGATATTCGATCAAACATATGTCAACAAAATTGTAATGTGTGTTGGAAAAACATCACATATTTACTCGCTAATTTAATGTTTCAACTTTTCGCTGGCACTCCCCATGGACCTTTGTATCCAATGCCCATTCCTAGCTTTGCTATCGCATATTCACCGAAACGTCCGTTTTCCAGCTCGTATTGACTCCTTCTTTGCTTGCCAACCTCTGGATCAAAATTCCATTCCGTTTTCTGCATCCAAATGAAGCATGAGAAATAAGTAAAATTAAAAAAAAATTATGTATGTTATGCATTTACCTCGTGCACGGCAGGTACGCCTGCGATGTTATATTGAATCAAATCATGCAGGAATCTGTAGACTGTAGCATCTACGATTGACACAATAATTTCACTTTGAAGTAATAATGCCATCAACACAGTGATCTGTAATAGAATGCACAGAAAGTAGATTATTAAAAAAAGAAAAAAATAATTTAGATTATATTATTGTCACAAATATGTTAAGTAAGCTAATCATTTAAATTATTACACAATAATATTATTACTAATAATTTATTAACACACCACTA